AAAGGACTTGTGTCGCTAAAGTTTCGTCGGAACGAAGTTACGGAAAATTAATTAACAAACGGAGACGTAACAATACATTATGTGACAAACTATTAAGGTAGAAATAATAGTACATAACGAACACGTTTTTAAAACAAATCCCATTTCTGTCAACATACCATATTAAATTTTCAATCAACTATTAATAGAATTAGGGTGGGCTTTCTTTTTAGTGTGGGTACTTTTAGTTTATTTATTTGGATTAAAGTTAAGCCTTACGTTACCAACACGTGTCCCCTACATTATCGGGAAGCATGCATTATGTTCCAGTGATTTTAAAATAATTAATCATTGGTTTATTGTTGTCACTACATAACGGGTATCTTACATAGAATGTTTAACATAAATCGTCATTCATTGGTGGCGATAAGAGTGTTAATAGTGTAGCAGCCAGAATCACTGAAATAATTTCCACAAGTTGCGCATTTCCTTTGGAAATCCTTCACTATTAACTCCATCTATTTCTCATTTCTCGCACAGTATAATTTATAAAGATAAACAAGGTATTTGTGGGTAGTTAGCGACCTCTGGTGACGTCAGGTTACCAAACATTGTCGAGGGTACACGTTTTTAACCACGCCATTTAGCGGTTGTTAATTTTTCATTGCTCATGAAATGATAAAACATTTTCTCCATACGCTTGTATTTAAAGCGTCATGATTTGCTCCTAGTATTTCGATAACTCCACATTAGAATGTGTGATGGCACATCGCCTAACTTAAATCTCTTTGTCTTCTTTAGGTCAAGTTGTTTCTTCGGAGATTCTGATGGCTAGCGAACCAGGCTGTCCGATCGAGTTTCACAAGATTGAGATAGCCAAGTGTGATGAGATGTACGACAAAGAATGCAAAGGAGGAAAATACATGCCCTTCCACAGGGCTCTGTACGACTCTAAAACCGGCCAGTCTCCGAATAATCCGAGAGAGCAGGTAACTCGAGTGTTGTTAAAAATTACTTGAATCTTGTAGGGAAAACGTGATTTATGTAACTTGAGTTTATCACAACCATACGTACGAGTTTTCCTGTTTTTTTATAGGTGAAAAATATTCAAACTTTTAGTACTGTATAAGATGTCATTTGAATATTTAGCCTAGCGACATCTGTACCTGTGGTAAGTTTTAAGGACTTTTCAACGCTAAAATCCGAGGTTCGATTCCCGCGGTGGACGGCGCTCCGATAGCCCATTGTATAGTCTTGCGCTAAAGATCAACATATTTACCTAAAACAAAACGTCAATAATACCTTAACACTTGGGGTAATGTTAAATTAGTTAATTCGGTAACAATAATCTATTTTAAACAGATATTAAAGTTTCACTGTTTTTGTTAATGTCGTGGACGTATTGGATTACATCAACAGTAATTTACAAACAATATACAATACCACCAAATATTTCATTCTGCTTCTGCTGAATGACTAATTCTACGAAACTAGGAGTGAAAGTATAGAATGTAATAATGTGTAATTCACACTATATCTGCTATATTCGCTGCCGACGAGACCTTTCGCTCAATACCGTAAGTGACAGACGCAGTAGTGGTTGAGATGCTATTTATATTATGGGTCTGCATGAACAAGTGTTACGGTGTGAACTAGAACAAGTTCGTGAAGAGTAGCATAAACTATCGGAATTAATAATAGTTCATGGAAACTAAGTAAAGAGTAGCGTAACAAGCGTGAATGAATACACTGAAACTATCGGAATTAATAATAGTTCATGGAAACTAAGTAAAGAGTAGCGTAACAAGCGTGAATGAATACACTGAAACTATCGGAATTAATAATAGTTCCTGGAAACTAAGTAAAGAGCATCGTAACAGACGTGAGTGAATACAGTAAAACTATCGGAATTAATAATAGTTCGTGGAAACTAAGTAAAGAGTAGCGTAACAGGCGTGAGTGAATACAGTGAAACTATCGGAATTAATAATAGTTCATGGAAACTACGTAAAGAGTAGCGTAACAGGCGTGAGTGAATACAGTGAAACTATCGGAATTAATAATAGTTCATGGAAAGTAAGTAAAGAGCCTCGTAACAGACGTGAGTGAATACAGTGAAACTATCGGAATTAATAATAGTTCATGGAAACTACGTAAAGAGTAGCGTAACAGGCGTGAGTGAATACAGTAAAACTATCGGAATTAATAATAGTTCATGGAAACTAAGTAAAGAGCATCGTAACAGACGTGAGTGAATACACTGAAACTATCGAATTAATAATAGTTCATGGAAACTACGTAAAGAGCATCGTAACAGACGTGAGTGAATACAGTTTGTGGTCACCAGTGTGCACTCGTTGACAACCTGGTGTTCATTATAGGAAGTAAAATAGCACTTGTACACTTAATGTTTTCTCTAGTATTTAAACGTATCTGAAATATAAACTCTAACAAATGTGGATATTTTTGCCAGTATAGATGGCGCTTTTCCTACCAATTGTATTTGCCTCTCGAAGTTTTGCTACCGCAGATGACGCTGTTGTGAAAAAGGAAGAGTTAACAAAGGTTGTTTTGAAGAAATCGACAATTCGTTTGTAATTCACTAAAAATAATACATTATAGAAACTTTAAATTAGTGATGTAATTGTCTTTCAAATTCGGACGTGCAGAGAAAACCAACCCAAAACCACTTAATTCCTTCATCGCATATAGTTATTAGTTTCAAGTAGGCTTTACTTGTTAAATAATTCACAATTTATTTAAGATAATTCTTTTTGGTTTTGTTTCCTGGATAATTGGATGAAGAATGTAGCATTTGTTTAGAATCTCGTAACTTCCAGGATGGACTGGCCGGTTTTCAATCTGACAGCTTTATAAGTACGAGGTGTGTGGTTTCGTATCTTCATTTAAGGCCGAACTATTTTGTTAAGGTGCGTTGTGTAAATCTCTACAGAATATAGTCTTTGCTCGGTAAACGCGAGACTGCGCGTGAAACTGGTCAATCAGTTGAAACTGACGTTATAGAAGAATCTATTTATAGATAATGAATGACCTGTTCGTGTACTACATAACATGTGCCACTCCTCCTGAGGTTTTCAACGCACGAAGAAACTGTTATATGAACTTTATAGCTTATATAACAAGTTTGTTAGTGTGGAAGTTGTTGACCTAAATAGCTACTTAATTGGAGTGTCTGAAGACTTTGTTAAAACTCAGCCACCTAGTTAAAATATCATTTTTGTCAACAAGTTGAATAATTTCTGTTCTAAAAAAAAAAAGGCCAAAGACTGCCACTGCCATTAAAGAATTGTTTATTTTCTCTTGACCGTGAAAACTAAAGACAACTTGACAATTTTTAAGAGCAGGGGGGGGGGGCAACTTTTGAATGGAATAACGACAAATTAAGTTTAAACAATTTTTATCCCTTCTTATAGGCGCGTGTTTCACCCCCCCTCTCCTCCCGATGTTTTTTTTACATTCTGATCATGGAAAATGTTAACAATCCTTATTTCTAATGAAAAATAATTTTCATGACACTTTAGAATGTCCGAAAGTGCCCATCATAACAGTGTGAACAAGTAACAGTCATCCCCTGATCAACATGACTTTGTCGTTATGTTAAGCTAGAAATATTTCTTGTCTGTTAAGAAAACGCATTCGTAACTAAGTTAAAGAAAGAAAGTTGTGTAAATTAATCATGACTAATTAGCGAAGTTAGCAGGATATTAACTATAGCTTATGTAGTGACAAGTTATATAACTTCAATACTGGACTAATTAGCGAAGTTAGCAGGATACTAATTACAGCTGATGTAGTGACAAGTTATATAACTTCAATACTGGACTAATTAGCGAAGTTAGCAGGATACTAATTACAGCTGATGTAGTGACAAGTTATATAACTTCAATACTGGACTAATTAGCGAAGTTAGCAGGATACTAATTACAGCTGATGTAGTGACAAGTTATATAACTTCAATACGGGACTAATTAGCGAAGTTAGCAGGATACTAATTACAGCTAATGTAGTGACAAGTTATATAACTTCAATACCGGACTAATTAGCGAAGTTAGCAGGATACTAATTACAGCTGATGTAGTGACAAGTTATATAACTTCAATACTGGACTAATTAGCGAAGTTAGCAGGATACAAGTTACAGCTGATGTAGTGACAAGTTATATAACTTCAATACTGGACTAATTAGCGAAGTTAGCAGGATACTAATTACAGCTGATGTAGTGACAAGTTATATAACTTCAATACTGATGTAAGGTCTGAGACTACTGTATTTGCCTGTAATGAGAAAAAGACCATTAATTCCTAATATATACTCTTGAAATGGGTCAGGTGTAGCCTTGTGGTTAGCGTGCCTAGATGCTGGTCGAAAGTTCCAAAGTCCGAGCTTCTAATAATTTCGCTTATCAAGCTCTGCACTTTCAGCCGATGCGGTATAAAAGTGAGAGTCAATTCCGCTATTTGGTTAGTGTACCCTCGTAGGCGGCAGACACTACAAACTTCCACTTTTCCTAGTTATTAGTTTAAAGTTACGGAAAGCTGTATCTGAACCTTGGTCTCTAGCCTGGTATAGTGTCACAAAAGCCGTTGTTCCGGTAGGGAATACCAAATGCCATTTTTAAAACAAAGATACCTGTAGATATTTACACTCCAAGGCCAGTGAATTCATGATGCTGCCAAACTCATTTGGCCATAACTATGCGGGCATGCAATTTTCTTCTAATTCTACAAAACTGTTCTAACTGGGATGATTCTGGCAGACCATTACGTGAAGTTGTATGTATCCTCTAAGTCTGGACGGACAATATACCAGAGAGTAATCGAAAATATATATGGTGATTGAGATCGTTACTGTTCGATTATAAATACGAAATAATGTTCACACTCGCCAGGTTTCAATGGTCTAATCAGAAGTGTGTTTTATAACGACTACAGTTAGACATTAGTTATATCGTGATCTGTGATAAGACTTTTGACAATGTTGTTTGTAGTGCATACAAATAGACTAGACTTACACCAACCCGACTGTACTAACGCATGTTGTTGTCGAATGGAAGTCCTCCTTTAGTTTTAAACTCAAAACAATTAATAACGTCAATAATTAAACGTGATGTTTCATCTCTACAGACGCCTTAAGTCTTTACTTCCTTCAGAAGTTACGTAACATGTTAACACTGTCTTCTTCAACTTTAAATCTTCTATTTCTTGTATAATAACCTTACGTGTGTGTGTGTGTGTGTTAAGTTTTGTGTAAATCTGACGTTGTTTCTCTCGTGCACAAACAAACCATCTGTAATTAAATAACCGATTGTCAACGACTTCAGTTGCTTGTGACGTGAAAAACATGGATCCAATATTTCGTCAATAGCCGGAAGAATCTTTCCAACAGCAATCTTGGTTGACTATCCTCACGATACCAGAAAAACTGAAATTAACACTCGAAATATGTGTGGTTACCTCACGTGTATTTTAATGGTTTAAAGATCATGATAACGTAAAGGAATTCCTACTTGTCCAATTGGATGTTCTCTGTCACGTACACCCGATTTTATCAGATTTGTTCTTAGTGTGGCTGTTTCAAATAATTCAAAAACCATTGCCCTTTTTAAGGGGCAAATTTGGATGGCAAGGCTATGAGAGGTTAGATAATAATTCTACCTGAGGAACATTGAGAGGGGAGGTAGGAGAATCCGCTCGTGACGTTATAAAATCCTAGTTCGAGGCATTTCTTCTGTTACAAGCAACTTTAACTAATAACTAACACTAGAGTTCCTCGTGATATGTTGAATTTCTCTCGTATTACTTGATATATTTCGAACGTCTGATTCGAGACTACCTCATGTTACCCGAGTTGCAGAAAAAAACCCAGAGTTTAGTATGGTTTCTGTTTTCTCATTCTTGTCCTTCTTTTGGTTCTTCATTTTATCTCCCTATTTACCTTTTTATTTTTTGTACTTGTTTCAAGAATCTTT